TTTAGGGTATGTTATAATGGTGCTGAATTTTGTGGTTCTACTAAATTTAGGGTCTGTTATAATGGTGCTTCCTAAGTTCAAAATATCTAATACTTATCTATTTTCTGAACAAGAACGATCAAAGGTTGTTTGCAGTTTGTTGAAATTAAGGGGGTTTTATAATTTGAAAGACTATGATTATGATTTTGTTCAGAGAGCAAGATTTGGATGGATTATTGATGGAAGACATGCTTTGAGGGGTGAGCGTTTTGCGAATCGTGCTCTCTATATTGTCTTCTTGTTTTAGGAAAAAAAAGGGAAACACATCATGAAAAAGTTTCTTTATATATATATATATATATATCTTAGGTAGTATGGTTTGCATAAGTTTGTAATCTTAAATAATCAAATTAAGGTGCCCCTCAAACTTTGTCATGAAAATGGTGTCGAAAATTATTAGGATTGTGCACGAATTTGTTTTGTCTCTAGTTATGAAATTTTAAACACCAAAAATGTTCAAATCAAACAGATTTATAAACGCATGAAAATCTTGAAAATAGATGGTCCACATAATGTATTGCAAGATGTACTTTTTAGGACTTGAAATATCTTTTTTTCTTCACAGCTGTACATCTTGATGTCGAGATGATCAATTAAATGATTTTCTAAAATCAAAACAATCTTTTCCAAAAGATTTTAGAAGTGCGCCATATTTCTACATTTTAAGGTGTCAACCTTATATAAACTTTTTCCACTGTTATATCATATTACAAAGTTTGTATATGCATATAAGGGCATCTTGACATGGTTCAAAGAAAATTCATTAATGTATTTAAAGAGAAGTAATAGCCCCTCTCTCTCTCTCTCTCTGGAATTTCTCTGGGAACGATACCTCTGTTACACACTACTGCTCTGAATATCTGTCTACCCATGTACAAAGGCACTACTACTCTTTCTCTCTCCAACAATAGTTTTAGAGTGAGAATTTGTCCATGTATAGAGAGAGTATTTATTGAGGAGCTGTGAACTCGTCTATTTTTTTTAAGTGAGTACTAAGTTTGGGGGTTATAAGGGTGGGGTTTGTATGGAGCCAGGCTCTAAACAAACAAATTAGAGCCCACCTTCTTATAGTATCGAAAAATATAGTTTTAATACTGAAAAGTTTTGTAGTAGCCTTCAATTATATTTTCATCTTTAGTTATAAAATTTAAAGCATAGAAAATAGTGTAAATCAAATCGATCTATGAAAACTTGAAAATTGATGATCACAAAATGTATCGCAAGATGCACTATTTCCAAAACTTGAAATCCATTTTTTTCTCATATCCATGATCTTGATGTCGAGATGAAACAATTCATCTCCCTCTCTCTGAGTAAGATATGTCCTCCCATCCTCTCCCTCTTTCTCTGTCAAAACGCCAATGCTAGAAGCATGACCCACATAAATCACCCTCTTTCTCTGCCAAAACGCCAATGCTAGAAGCATGACCCACATAAATCACAACAAACCAGCCACAATTATATGAGGAATTGGTGTCCCTATTTTACCCGTGAACAAATAGAAAGCACAATTTGTCAAACAAATGGAGTTCCATAACATTTTATCAAAAGTAAAGGGTAAGACAGCCTAGGCAAGGAGAGGGCTTTTGGGTTGCAGGAGAAATAATGGGGGACGAGGGAGAAGAGAGAGAAAGGGTACACGTTTGAGAGGGAGATGGAAATAAAGAGAGGAGAGAGAGGGAAAAGCCGAAGGAAAGAGAGAGGGGGAGATGGAAATAGAGAGAGGGAAAGCCAAAAGCGGAGTACGGGGTAATTTATGGTTTTCTTGTTTAAAAGGATACAGGGGTAAATTGAAAAATAGGAGGGTGACCTGTTGAATAGGTTACCAGGTGAGGGGAAAATTTAATATCGAGATTGGTGTTAGATCCAACGGTCGATAGCTAAAACATTAAAACGACCTTTTCCGATGAATTTTTGAGGTGCATATGTAATTTTACATTTTAAAACTGCAACCTTATATAAACATTTTCTTTTTTAAAAGTTGTTTCTACATTATCCCTTGGAAAGGAAAAGGTTTATAGAAGATTGCAACTTTAAAATATAGAATTAAAGATGCACTTCAAAAATTCTTTGGAAAAGGTTGTTTTAATGTTGAAAAATCCTCTAATTGATCATCTCGACAT